AGGTTCTCATAACACCTCATATGCAGTCAAACAACACGAGGCCCAAAAATCAATTATCATCACAAATCCCATGAAAATTTTAACAGCTTTCTTAACCGTGCTGCTATAATGGGCAGAAGCTAACATGGGTCGAACAGATAAAAGGCATCGGGCAGAATGTATGATCTGTGTTTGCACTCCGTCTCAAATTAAAAGAGAATAAAGAGCTGCTGCCAAGAACATATAGGGGGGAAGAAACGTGCACTCTCCTGAGAGTGCACGTTTCTTTTAAACAGTTTGAACTGCATGTGAGAGACACATCAAAAGTACAGGGAGTGCAGAATTATTAGGCAAATTAGTATTTTGTCCACATCATCCTCTTCATGCATGTTGTCTTACTCCAAGCTGTATAGGCTCGAAAGCCTACTACCAATTAAGCATATTAGGTGATGTGCATCTCTGTAATGAGAAGGGGTGTGGTCTAATGACATCAACACCCTATATCAGGTGTGCATAATTATTAGGCAACTTCCTTTCCTTTGGCAAAATGGGTCAAAAGAAGGACTTGACAGGCTCAGAAAAGTAAAAAATAGTGAGATATCTTGCAGAGGGATGCAGCAGTCTTAAAATTGCAAAGCTTCTGAAGCGTGATCATCGAACAATCAAGCGTTTCATTCAAATTAATCAACAGGGTCGCAAGAAGCGTGTGGACAAACCAAGGCGCAAAATAACTGCCCATGAACTGAGAAAAGTCAAGCGTGCTGCCGCCAAGATGTTACTTGCCACCAGTTTGGCCATATTTCAGAGCTGCAACATCACTGGAGTGCCCAAAAGCACAAGGTGTGCAATACTCAGAGACATGGCCAAGGTAAGAAAGGCTGAAAGACGACCACCACTGAACAAGACACACAAGCTGAAACGTCAAGACTGGGCCAAGAAATATCTCAAGACTGATTTTCCTAAGGTTTTTTGGACTGATGAAATGAGAGTGAGTCCTGATGGGCCAGATGGATGGGCCCGTGGCTGGATCGGTAAAGGGCAGAGAGCTCCAGTCCGATCCAGACGCCAGCAAGGTGGAGGTGGAGTACTGGTTTGGGCTGGTATCATCAAAGATGAGCTTGTGGGGCCTTTTCGGGTTGAGGATGGAGTCAAGCTCATCTCCCAGTCCTACTGCCAGTTTCTGGAAGACACCTTCTTCAAGCAGAGGTACAGGAAGAAGTCTGCATCCTTCAAGAAAAACATGATGTTGATGCAGGACAATGCTCCATCACACGCGTCCAAGTACTCCACAGCGTGGCTGGCAAGAAAGGGTATATAAGAAGAAAAACTAATGACATGGCCTCCTTGTTCACCTGATCTGAACCCCATTGAGAACCTGTGGTCCATCATCAAATGAGAGATTTACAAGGAGGGAAAACGGTACACCTCTCTGAACAGTGTCTGGGAGGCTGTGGTTGCTGCTGCACGCAATGTTGATGGTGAACAGATCAAAACACTGACAGCATCCATGGATGGCAGGCTTTTGAGTGTCCTTGCAAAGAAAGGTGGCTATATTGGTCGCTGATTTGTTTTTGTTTTGTTTTTGAATGTCAGAAATGTATATTTGGGAATGTGGAGATGTTATATTGGTTTCACTGGTAAAAATAAATAATTGAAATGGGTATATGTTTGTTTTTGTTAAGTTGCCTAATAATTATGCACAGTAATAGTCACCTGCACACACAGATATCCCCCTAAAATAGCTAAAACTAAAAACTACTCCCAAAAACATTCAGCTTTGATATTAATGAGTTTTTTGGGTTCATTGAGAATATGGTTGTTGTTCAATAATAAAACTATTCCTCAAAGATACAACTTGCCTAATAATTCTGCACTCCCTGTATGTAAAAAAAGGAACGGCAGTTTGGGTTACATGTCTGTATCAATAACAGCTTTTGTTTTCATTAGATGGTGGCCACCAAGTCCCTAATCTGATCCCCTTTCAACCAGCAGGCTGCAACTTGTAGGCAGAATGGAGATAAATGAATCAACAGAGAGGGACTTTCAGAGATAATAAAGGCAGATGTGGAAATCAGTTTCTGTGTGTAGTTTCATTTCTCTGTCAAAATACTGGAAATTATGTTTCTTTTCCCTTATATGAACTAAGTGCATTTTTTTTGCACAGACAGGAGTATTTTAGTGATTCATTTTGGCTATGCTACTGCAATTTATCTATTTTTTGGGAGAATGTATTTTTGGTAGCGTGGCCTGCCAGACTCGTTCTAATTTTAATTCTGCACAGAGAAAGAGTTTGGTAACTCACAGGCAGAGAGGCACATGAGGGGCGGGACTATGCAGCTCAAAAATAACCAATCAGAAAAACGACAAAAATGCTGAATGTACCGCGCAACGCTGTCGTTTTTTATCTGTAGTAAAAAAAATAAAGGGCGTCTGGCAATGGCAAAAACATCCTTTTTTTTTTTTTTTTTAGAAGAAATGCTTTTAGCGCTTCTACTTGTTGTGGTTTTAAAGACATTCAAGTAATTTAGAACAGAGGAAAGACCCACAGCAAACTCCGCCGCTGTCTTCGTTGTTTATGAGAAACTGAGCATCGCTGTGTGTGACGTCTGCGACACTGTCGTTTTTTAGCTGTAGTCAAAAATGGCGTCTAGCGACAGTTCAAGCATCTTTCATTAGAAGAAAGGCTTTGAAACCAGAACAAGTAGAAGCGCCAAAAGATGTGTCCAAGTCACTTAGAACAGAGGAAAGAGCCGCATCGAACCCCGCTTCAGTTGCCATGTTTATGACAAACTTGGCGTTGTGTGTGACGTACACTACTCAGAGCTGATTGGCTCGGTTAGAATTCATAGGGGTGGGGTTATTTAAATAGGAGAGTTCCCAGACCCTTTTTCTGTGTAGAATTAAACAGAGGACAAGTCTGGCAGGCCAGGCTATATTTTTTGGAGAAATACCAAAATTAATAAAAACAATCCCCCTACTCCATTTAATTTAACACTGAAATCATTTTGTAGCATTACCACCCTTAGTGCATTTTTCGCGCCATTGACTCCCATGTAAATCATTTATTTCTAGTAAGCCTAAATATTAGCATATATATATATATATATATATATATATATATATATATATATATATATATATATATATATATATATAGGCAGGCAGCAGAGATATAATTGTTCAATCAGGAAATGGATATGATTTGCAGCTAACCCATACACAGGAAACAGGAAAAATTAGAATATGGTGCAAAAGTCCATTCATATATGTAATCTATCATAGACTGAGAGACCATCTAAAGGCTCAGGAACCCTTTGCAGGTGTTTTGCATTCATTAGCATGAGTGTAACACTTTGAATCTAGAATATTGAACCTTTTTATGATATTCTAATTGTCTGCGATTTTGAATATGGGGTTTTCATAAGCTGTGTGCCATAATCATTACAATCATGACTAATGGATGCTTGAAATATCTAGTTTAGCATGTAATGAGTGTGACTAAATCAGAAACTCAAATATAAAATTGCACATTTTTGATACAGATATTGCACATGCTTATCTTCCATTATCAATAAATGTAAAATGTATCGTACATCCATATTTGATTTATTCAATTTTTACGTAAAGGGAAAATCTGAAACTGTTGTTTCTATAAAAATGTAATTCCACATTTCGAGGATAAACAACTTTAACAGTCTGTTGAAAGGACCTGAGATCAACAACAAGCTTAAAGAAAACCAACTCATTTATCAGCTCTGATAGCGGCTTGAGGGGGTTTAACTTAATAATGGCGCAGCAAAGACTCCACAATTCTAACCGCACTTTCAAATAGAAACTAAAATCACAAAAGTAGCAAAGGTTACAGAAATCTTTACATTTGGTGCTACTAGCTCATTAACATAGTCTTGAAATCCATCCTTGGTGTGAGTTTTGACTACATTAAAGGTAAACTTAGCAAATTTTCATATTTTTAAACCATCTTGAGCCAGTATGTGCTAAAAGGACCCTAGACAGAGTGCCAGGATATTGCACTTACAACTTCAGACTGGCGGGCTGCTATGTTGGGACTACATTTGCTGTTAGCCTCAAGGGCAACCTGCTGGCTTCCTTATCACTTGTAAGCCGCTTTGGACAAAAGCATCAGCTAAATACATAAACATTAACATGGCACTGCAGTCTGCTTCCAGCATGTTTTAGATCACGAACACAGTTGATTTGAATTAATTATACATTCACAAAGATAGAGACAATAAAGTTGATCTCTAACTAAATAGAATATTTACTGAGAAATCACAATGTAGCCATAGAATACTACTTGGTAAATGTGGTGTGTGTGTGTGTGTGTGTGTGTGTGTGTGTGTGTGTGTGTGTGTGTGTGTGTGTGTGTGTTCTTCTCAATCCCCAGTGATTCGTGGAGACGACTCGTCATGATTTGTCGCTACAGAAATAACCTGATTTGAATTGAAATGTGTTTAATTTAGTGACGAATCACCCCACTAGACACTAATGAAGGCTGGGGAGACATTTCAGCTGTATGATTAAAGTGTTAAAAAAGACGAACGCACAGAGAGGAGAGGTTTTGATTTTGGTCCTACCAACGCACACTAGGGGATGCTAAAAGCAAGCCAAAACTGCCTAGTTGCCCATTAAATTGGATATATTCATCAGCGCTATCATCAAGATCAGACTTTTCCCAACTACGCCTCTTCAGGATCAGTGCAGCTTAGAATGCTGACACGGTTGTCATGTGCTGATGTCTCAAAATCCCTAAAGGGACGATTTTGTATGGAGACACAACAGTGAGAGGACCAAGCCCATGTCACCTTCCCCCCTCCCAGGAATGTCCCAGCACCCCTACAGTGTAAATGCACCTTATTCCTAAGTGCAGCTGCCGTTTCCTCTACCTTAGATGAACTTCGCTGCATCAGAGAGCTGCAGGAGAGTTTAAGTGTGACATTTTCTGCTGAAAGTCACTTTAGTCCCCCCTTTATTGAGAATGTTCACTCACACAGCAGACTTACCCGCAGCGCACTGCTCCTCGTCTGCTCCGTTTTCACAGTCTCTCTCTCCATCACATCGCCATGACAACGAGACACATTTGCTCGTGATGCCGCCACAATCAAACTTCTCAGGGGGACAAGTCTGTCGGCCTATAGCGTGGGATGGCAAATAGAAAAGGAGGAGAAGAGAGCAGGACAAAGATGAGAGGACGGAGAAAGAAAACAGGGAAGGTAAAATGGGACAAGAAATGGAGAGGAGGCAAAGATGGAGAGAGAAGGGACAGCCAGTCAATGAAACAGTTTGATAACTTGGTTATCTTGTTGGTCAAATTGATTTCTTCTCAAAGGCCTGCAATTTAACCAGACACAGTGAAAGTGGAACAAAGAAGCACGCTGTCAGGTCAGACACAGAGGCAAGAAAATACACATGAAGCCAAAAAAACGTTAAATACCCACAAACATTATTTATTCACCAGTAGCTGTGTTAAGGTAGGACTGCTTACTTTCCTCTTTCAACATTTTCCAAATGTTTTAATTAAATTCTCTACAAGCAGACTACAAAACATAAAAATCTAATGACGAGTAGACCATAATTTCATAATTCTTAACTGAGATTTCAGTTTTTGACCATTTCTCGAGCCAAACAAGATCGTAAAAACGATCACACAGAGAATGCACATGTGTTTATAAATGAGATATATTAGTTGTTGCTCTTTGAGTGAAAAACACTCAGAGTGATACAAATCACAAAATGCATTTCACAGACTGTCAAATACTCTTTCATGCCGTATGGGGAGAAAATAAAAAGCCCATTACAAAATAGGCCATTGTTCCTCCTCGTGTAACCCATGGGAGCTGCCGGAGGGATGAAAAATACGGCAATCTAATACGCCACATTTTCACCGAGCCCCGACAACAAATCTGTCCTTTTTCCGAACAAACCAGTACAAACTCACCTTGCCCTTCTCTGAACCCCTCGCTCTTTCACACACACACACACACACACACACACACACACACACACACACACACACACACACACACACACACACACACACACACACACACACACACACACACACACACACACACACACACACACACACACACACACACACACACACAATCTTAGACAGAGACTGCAGCCCCAGATCACATTACACTGCTGTGTCAAACTCAACTGCATCAATTATACATATTTGACCACCAGCATCGTCTTTGGCAACACGCCTGTGTTTGTGTGTTGCAGCCACAGATCGATAGCACCTCTGGGATTTACCCATTCTAGACTCATCTACTTTCAATCTCATATTTCTTCCTCCTCACTATATATATATATATATATATATATATATATATATATATATATATATATATATATATATATATATATATATATATATATTTATATTCTTTCTTCCACTGCCATTTAAATACTGTCAGTCAAAGATGAAAGAACATTTGAGCCTTGCATTTAGGTGCCAGGATCTTTTTTTTTTTTTACCCGTACATTCTGCCAAATCCTACCCGATTAAAAAAACCAACCACTAGCATTTCATTTCCTTTAGATCTGGTTCTAGGTTTGGAGATAGAGTCCCTTTTGGTCCTTCTCCTGTTTTGCTGATATTATTTATTCATTCATTCATTCATGGTTGCCCACTTCTCTCTTCCACTCACAGTCTGCCTCCTGCTGAACATTAGGCTCATGCATGAGCATCTTCCCCCAAATAAGGTTTCTGCTAGATTTAAAAGCATAAAATAACTCTAAAAATCCAAATGCAATGCAAATACCGGTTTCTATCAGCACTGTCTGGGTTTTACTACCATCTTAGTGCCTTTACAATATGTGTGTGGATTGAATGCCAGGAGGACAAGCGTACAGCGTTGTAACAAGCTCATCTTCTGAACATGAAGGTATGAATATAAAAATAGATGTTATTCATGCAGACCAGACACTATACAGAAGCCAATATACCATCAGCTTCTGGTTGCTGCCATTTTGAAATAAGACTTTTGACCCCCTTTACTGTGGAGAGAGGATGCAGCTGGAGAATGAGACATGACATTTAATATATAAATTATTCATCCTTGCATCCTAACATTTTTGGAAAGATTTCAAGAAAGTAGGGCTGAAACGATTCCTCGAGTACCTCGAATAATTCGAGTACAAATCAAATTCTCTGCCTTGAGGCTTCATTTAATTCATGTTTAATTAATTCATGGCTTTGCAATCGCCCGGGGTCATGTTTCACCCGGACCGAATTAAGTGATGCACATACACACTGCACTGAATGCACACGTGAGTAGTGAACGCAACTTAACTTTCTCTTAAGTGATGGCGGACAACGTGGACCCCGGTGGAGCGCGAAAAAGACAGAAAATGACAAAGGTGTGGGACCATTTTTCACGTCGTAAGCCGAAAAACATAGTCCAGTGTAAATACTGTAAAATGGATTTAGCCTACCACAACACCACATCGTCGATGCTGCAGCACCTGACCAGGAAACATCCACATGTAAATGTCACTTCTGCCAGGGGACTCGGAGGTCCGCTATATATTCTGCGGACACTGTGCGACTTTTTCATTTGTAGCTCTCAGTTTCAGCTCACACTGTGCGTCTGGTAGCAACACGTCGGACCTAAAAATGTGCTAAAAATAGCAGTTTTTACACAACACGTCAGACTTTTTATTGTGTTGTTATTGATGTCTGTTCCTCGGGATTGCTGCAGGAGGACACGGGTATTTATGAGAGTGGCGGAGGAAAACGAAAGAAAGTAAATAAATGCTTTGTGATCAGTATAATTTGACATAACCACGGCAAACATGCTTTCGACAATCCTTGTTATTGTGTGAGAGAAAAAGTGTAGAAATTAAAATGGACGTGTGTTAATAGGGAAATAGCTGGCGAGCCATGTTTGCGCATGCGCCGTGAGTGGTTCTGGTGCTGTTTGGGCCGCAGCCGCTCGCGGCGCTACTTGAACAGTTATCGTCCTCGTTTTTGTCTGGCTTGCGGGGCTAGTAGATTCTTGCACGAGGGGAAAATCGGCTCAGGTTGTATACTTATTTTTTGCACAGGCATTTGTTTACTGTGAAGTAAAGTTGAAGTGCTGAAGTTTTGAAAACTAATGTTGAATAAAACTTGAATAACTGGCAATTGCTTGCTCATTTTGAGAGGTCTTTCATATTTTATAACATGCTATTTGATATAATGGTTTACAAACACAAAAGGGTCATTTATTAGTGTACTCGATTAATCGATAAACGATTCGATAGAGTACTCGATTACAAAAATATACGATAGCTGCAGCCCTACAAGAAAGTAAAGATAAAAGAACATAATGCTTTGTACGAACTAAACTGTAAACCTAAAATGTTTTTTTTAACTGGGCTGTAAACATGTTTATTTCAGGTTGGCATTTTTAATTTCATGGGAGTCGATGGTAACTTGCTCCTGCGGGATCCAATCTTTAGTGGATGCAATTCTTGTCACTTCCGCGTTGGCATCACTTTTGGCAGGCAGAGTTTGAACCTTCATCTCACTTCAGTGGGCCAACTTAAAGGACCTTTATGTGGGTCATTTTCAGGAACCCACGAAGATAATTCTGCTGTTGTGTCCTTGGGCAAGACACTCAACCCACCTTGCCTGCCTGGGGTGGTCGGAGGGACCAGTGGGTATGTGTTTGGCAGCCTCACCTTTGTCAGCGCCCAAGGGCAGCTGTGGTTACATCACCATCAGAGTGTGAATGGATGAATGAGGCATTGTAGTGTAAAGCACTTTGGAGTCCTCTGTGCTACACAAGTGTGGATCATAGGCACACAGAATAGCTCTGTAGAGTCGCTGAACAGAACTTGGATAACTTATGCTCATTGGTTGTAACTCAGTAGGAAAAGACATCGGCAGTCATCGCCAAAACGACTGGCATTTGTAAAAATTACAAGTTACTGATGAAGCAGAGCAGAAGAAAATGAAGATGAGCAGTCACTGTTACTAAATATCCAACACTGAGAAATGCAGATGAAACCCCCCATGACATAATTCACGAGGCTTTGTTGTTTCACAGAGCACTGTAAAAAACAACACTTCTTCTGGTCACTAAGCGCCACCTTCTAAGTCACACAGCTGCTGTCCTAATCCCACGTTTTGATTAAATTATGCCGTATTTTGACAGAATAAAAGTTTTAATATTAATGCTGGTGGATGCTTTTTGACATCAATCAACGTCACTCACTGTCGAAGCAGTGCCGATGTGCTGACGTCCTGAGACGGGCTGAATTTATATGGAGACACACCGGCTGAGAGGACTGAGCCACTGTGTCTCCCAGTCATCATTCCCCCCTCCCAAAATGTCCTGGAGTTCCTATAGTGGAAACCCAGCTATGGACCAGTTTTAAACAAGAACTTTTCCTTGGACTCGTGGGGGCACGTGTGTCCTGTGCATTTGCATGGAATAAAACAGATCCCTAAAGGGGAAAAAAATCCCAGCAGCAGATTTAATCCACTGGATAGTTGTCCAACCCTTTCATTTACCTAATCTAAATGTGTTCACACACATTTGAGTTTAGGACAGCAAGACTTCCTCAGTCTCTTGACTGACTCTCGTGAGCCTCACACAGAATCACCTCCCTGGGGGGTTCACTAAATATCTGACTGACAGTTGACTTAAAAGGATGTAATTTGCCTGACTGACCACTTCAGGCTCTGGGAGTCTGGAAGACGAAGCCAGAGAAGAGCTGCCTATCAAATGCCTGAATATGAGCAGGCCCAACCGAGAGCTGCACTGACATCGATTATGTTAAACAACGATTATTTTAAACAAATGAAATGTTTTTCATCTCAAAGGAAATAATGTTTACCAAAAAAGGCATTGCAATTATCCTACTCTCATTGTGTACTAGCTGTAAATGTTCAAAAGATGCTCCCCATTATCCGTTGCCGATAACACAACAGAGGCTCTTTGCATACCAGTACATACCAGTACATTCCACACACTTTATTTCTTTGTTGCGTTGGATTTCTCGCGGCCCGTTATGAAGGTTTCCAAGTTCTCATCCAGAAGACTTCTGCAGTTCTGAACTGAACTGAGCTTTTTTTTTTCTCTTCAGGCTTTGGGATTTTTCACGTTTAGGATTGCCATATCCTGTATTTATG